CTGTGGCTGACCTGGCGAAGAGGCATCGAGGGGCATAACGACACGTGGTATCCTGTGTGTGCGTGTGTGTGTGCGTGTGTGTGTGCGCGTGTGTGTGCGTGTGTTTGCGTGCGTGTGTGTGACTGCGCGTGCGTGTGCGTGTGGCTGTACGTCCGTGTGATGTGGGGGAGGCAAGGTGGCAAGCGCAAGGGCCGGGAAGTCGCAGGAGTGAGGTGCGCCATACGCCAGGGGGCGTGGCAGAATTTGAGGGAGGGCAGGGCGGTTGGCTCGAGGCTCTGGCGGGTTGAATGTTGAGGGGGCGGCGAGCGGCAGGCAGAGGCGAGGCCGCGGCCCGGCAAGGGCATGCCCTGCCAGCCCCTGCATGTGGGCGCCCCCAGCAGCCGGTCCCCGACCGGGACCCCCGGCACCTTTGTGCGCATGTAATCAGCGCTGCGGATCTGGAATGTGGTCGCGTCGGCCTCGTCCCAGCGCCGCACGCACTCAGACGGCTCCTCCCAGGGCTGGCGCCGCTGCGGGCGCGAGCACGGGCGAGGCAAGCGGGTGAGCAGGTCATGCGCGGCGGCCGCCCCCGGCGCAGCGGCTGTGGAACACACCGCCAGGCAAAGCCGTCGGCGCGGCCACGGCGGCCACGAGGGCCCGTGCCTGCCGAAAGCAGCGGCACGCCGGCCAGCCGCAGGAGGCGCGCCATGTATGTACACCATGTCAATACACGGCATTCATGTACACGGCATCACGCCGCAGCACGCACCAGCATCGAGCATCCCGCCGCCGCCCGTGGGCCCCTCGAGGCGCCGCTCCGTGGCGACCCCGCCGCCAACGCGCCGTCCGCCGCCGGCGGCGCGCCCGTCAGTATCCCCGGCAGGCAGCCGCCCACCAGCCGCGCCCCCAGCCCGGGGCCGCCCCCGCCGCCGCCGTCCTCGGACCCCTCTTCCTCGTACTCGTCCGATTCGTAGTCCCCGCCGCCGCCGCCGCCACCGGGCCCGCCCCTGCTGCCGCTGGCGAGGCTCCGCTGCCGCGCGGCGGCAAGGCCGGGCCCGTCGCCGCTGCCGCGGGGGCTGCCGGGTATTGAGGCTAGGGGAGACTGCCCGCCTGCCGGTTGCGCAGGGACGCAGATGAAAGAGGGCAGCAGAGGGTTTGTCAGCCGAGGGGCGGCGTGCAAGCCGCGCTGCACGCCGCAGCCCCGCGCGGGACGCGCACGGCCCGGCTACCTGCTGCCTGCGGCGGGCTGGGGCCAAGGCGGTACGGCGCTCCCGGCGGGCTGGTTGGGCGGCGGCGCTGCGTGTTGCGGTCAAGTTGCGTTTGGGCTACAATTGGGGCGCCCGGCAGCTCACCGTCGTCGCCGACGCTGAAGGTGTCTTGCACGTCATGCCATTCCTCGTCTGCGGCGCGGCGCGGCAATGCAGGGGAGGTCGGCGGCGCGGGATGCGCGTTGTGTGGCTTGCGGGCCGGCCTGCGCCCGCCGAGGCAGCCATGAACCGTGCCCTAGCTCTGGGGGAGAGCTGCTGGTCCGGATGCGTGAGCCGCTGCCCACTGTTGCAGTCGCGGCGAGGCGCTTGTCGCTTCCAATGTAGATGTTGGTGCTCACCAGATAGGATGGAGACGTGGCAGGGCTCGCCTCCGGAGCTCTGCCAGGAGGGCAGCTTCTGCGGCGCCTGGAGCGACCGGCGCCGCCGGTGTGGGCGCCGCTGCTGTGATTTGGGCTCGCGGGGCGCAGCGGCGGTTGCACCACCGCAGCAGAAGAACGCCGCAAGGCGCTCTCTCTTCGACAACGACCTTTGGAGCGGAGGGTGCTCCATATGCTCGGGAGTGAGTATCTCTCGCTCTCTTCCGTCTACGCTGGACCGCCTATGGTGCGCGTTGCTGCTGCCCTGGAGAAGAGGCTCTCTGTGGTAGGCATGACCATCCATCTGCTATGTGCTTGTGAGCTCTAGGCAGCCTTGCCCGATCTAACACCACCATGCATCGTGCTGCAATGCATTACAAGCGAAAGTGACATCTAATCGTGTCATTGTATCACGTGGCCCAAGTATGTAATGGCCCGAGGGGTGGTCTAGCCCGCGGCTAGACCTCATGGGCGGTCAAGGTGACAAATATCGTCATGTGGGGCTTCAAGGAAAAAACGTGTCCGCAGAAGTTCATTTAGTTTGCTCATCTTTTCTGTGTAGTATCCCCTTATGCTCTCATTCATGATCGCGCGCACTTCGAATTTGGCAGCAGCACACCGCAGCATGTCTCTCCTCCAGTCCCTCGCCTGCGTGGTGTTGGCATTGGTTGGATCGCCATGCAGCACGCAAGCGGCCTCCCTTTCGGACCTGGCCTGGGTGCGGACACTCGCGCAGCTGCGGCAAACCGCCCAGCAGTGTGCTGCCTGAAAACAAGCGAAGCGGCGCGATTTGCGTGGCAATTGTGTTGCCACTTTTTGCACTGTGATGTTGGACTGGAAGAAGTGGCACGGGGTGCCGGTATTGGCTCATGCTGGCAGCCTGCAGTACGCATGCGGGCAAACGGCGGATTGGCGCTCATGCTGCCAGATGCCGCACCTGGGCCCTGCCAAGCAGGTGACATGCGGCTCCACCATCAAGCTGGCACACGACAGCAGCAAGTACCGGCTGCACTCCCAGGGGATCCCCTACAGCCGCGGCAGCCGGCAGCAGTCGGTGACGGCCTTCCCTCTGGAGCACGCGGACAGCAGCAGCTACTGGGTGGTGCATGGAACCAAGGTGCGGCGGGGCACAGCCAGGCAGCAAGGCACAGCGGAGCGATGTTTGCGGTCTGACCTGTTATTATCGAATGTATCGTCAGGCGCAGCAGCATCTGGCTGCCATGCGACGCCGTGCATGCACACAGCCGGCAGGGACTCCAGGATGGAAGGCTTGCGGGTCCTCAGGCAGCCTGCCACCCCGCCTGCGCAGGACAAGCCCTGCCGACCAGGATTCCCTGTGAACAAGAGGCAGCAGCTGCGACTGCAGCACGTGGCGTCGCGCAAATGGCTCCACAGCCACACCTACCAGAGTCCGCTGTCGGGAAACCAGGAGGTGCGGCCCAAGTCTCGTAACGCCAATGATGACAGGCGCATCATGAAGGGGCGACACTGAGAGTTGACCTCTTTTGACGTTGGCGACACCATGTTGCCAGACTTTGGAAGTGGATTCGGACTAAACGATCTTTCCTAAGATGTGAGATGTCCCCTGCCTCTCGCTGCCGCAACCTTGCAGGTCAGCGCGTTTGGCGCCGACGACCGGTCCGACGGCGGCGACGTGTGGACCGTGGAATGGGACAGCAAGGCCTCCCACTGGAAGCAAGACGTCAAGGTGGGTGGGGGGTGGGCTCGCGGCGATGGTGGTAGCCCCCTGCTGCGGTCGGCTCTGCGGCTGGATCAGCGCGCGGTGCCCGCTGGCCGACGGAGCGGGGAGGCGCCGGGGCGCCCATATGGACGCAGCTGCCATGCGGAGCCGGCTCCGCCGAGGGCACTGCTCCCCTCCCTCCGGCCGACGACACCCGCAGGTGAGGCTGCGTCACGAGGACACACAGACCTACCTGCACTCCTACAAGCAGGCCTCGTTCGGCCACCCCATCGCCGGGCAGAACGAGGTCTGCGCGGTCAAGAAGCAGGGGCGCGAGTCGGAGTGGTTTGCGGCTGAGGGCATCTACCTGCCGCGCAACGACGTGGCACGCGCAAAGGCGGCAAGCACAGCGGGCGGCAGCAAGGGGGACGGCGGGGGCGCAGGGGCCGCAGCGAGCGACAAGAAGCCCAAGGAGAGCGGCAAGAAATCCAAAAAATCCAAGAAGCAGGGGGGCCGCGGCAGGGCGGACGAGCTGTAACGCCACTGGCTCTTGAGTTGCGGGGCGGTCAACCATTGATCAGCCCAAAAATCGGCCGTGGTCGAAAGCCCGCACTTCAGTGTGGTGATGATGCTGTGTTGTGGAGCTGAGAGCATCCTGACGATTGTTGCCAGCTCACTTATGGCCCAAAGAAACCCCAGGCAAAGCCCCAGCAGGTCGTTACGGGTATGCAACCGAGCAACGCTGGTGTGCTGGATTGCGTCAGTTTCGGGTGCCCTGGTGCGGCCTGCGGACCAGTCACAAACAACAGGTGCGCATTAGTGGCGACAGGTATAACAGGAGGCCCGCGCCGGGGCCGCTGAAGCAATTCTCTCACACTCCGCACGGGAAGCACTGCGGTCGGGTGTGTGCGAAGATCATTTGCCTCCACTAACAGGCATCAGCAGTGCGACCTATTTCTGCTGTCCATACGCCTCAAGCCGCTCGTTACCATCTTCGACCCGCGGTCTGCTCGCAAGTTCTGTCCACCCGCGAGCCCCAATTTGCGCCCTCCCATTGCTCAAAGACAGCAAACATCAGATGCATACGTCTGTAAGGCATGCGCCTGCGTGCAGCAGTAGCAGCAGCAGCGGCAGTGTCTCTCAACAGCGGCAGCGGCGCCATGCGCCCGAGCACCAGCGGCGGCGCCGCGCGCTGCGGGTAGCGGCGTCCGGCGTCGACCTGGCGCGCGAGAAGATCAAGCTGCCGCCGCCGCCGTCCGAGTCCAAGGGCATTACGTACAAGATCACCCTCGTCGCCGGCGACGACGACTCGCGCACGTTTGACTGCCCCGACAACAAATACATCCTCGACGCCGCCGAGGCCGCCGGCCTCGACCTGCCGGCCACCTGCCGCGCGGGCATCTGCGGCGCCTGCGTCGCGCGCCGCACCGCCGGCTCCATCGACCAGTCGGACATCGCCGACCTGTCGTTCACCCTAACCGACGACGAGGTCGAGGCGGGCATGACGCTGCTGTGCATGAGCCGCGCGACGAGCGACGTGACGCTGGAGACGCAGTCGGACTGGGGCTACTCGCTGGGCATCACCGAGTGGAAGGGGGCGACGGGAACGTTTTCGGCGAAGCCGGACCCGCTCATGGGAACCAGCTGGACGGAGGGCGACCCCAAGTGAGCGGCCGCGGCGGGCGCCCGCGTGGCGTGCCGCGCCCCCTCCGGGCGCGCCGCCC